CTGGCGGCGCGCGGCGGGGGCGGGGAGGCGCGGGCTCCGGGACAGGTCCAGGCAGGGGCTCCGCGCGCTTGGGGCGCAAAGCCAGGGCACCCGGAGCTGTCCGCTGGGTGACAGGCAGGGCGCCGGGGCACATAGAAAGCAACCCTATGGGCCGTTCCCTCCCTGCAGACGGGGCGCCCGGGCTGTGCTGGGCCGGCGGGGGCTCAGGCCAGAGCCCCCCGGGCGGCGGGAGGGTCACACCCAGGGCCCGGAGGCCAGTGCTCTGACTGGAGGAAGCCTGCTGTCCTCTCTCAACAGGAAGGACAAGGGCACCGCACTGGACAGGCGCCGTTTTTCCTTCTGCGGAGCCTGAACAAACTCTTTATATTTAGAGGCCGCGGCTTGCCAAGGCCAGGCTGCGCGTCCGCCTTGGAGGCCCCATCTCCGCGGCTGAGGCGCTACTTACACCCCTGGTGCAGGGCCGCACCTGCCCAGTGCCCTGGGGCTCCCGCTACTTAGGCGCAGGGGGCGAGGGGTCCCGGCGGCTGCCTCCCGTCCCCCCAGGGCAAGAGCAGCTCTCACCTTGCCCGGGAAGGCAGGGAGAGACGTCCTGCCCTGAACTCAGGGACATGCTTTCGGGGGTACTCAGGGGTGTGGTGCAAGCCAGAGTGGAACCATTCATTTTTCGGAGGTGCTTAAGTGTCCCCCAAATAGCCACAATTCCCGGTGGGTAGCGGGACTCAGCAACGGGGACAGGTGCGGGGTCCCTGGGGACATGAAAGCGCGTGTAGCCCCCACATCAGGGTGACATTTCCTAAAATGACCTGAGTCCACGTAAGAACAAGAAGTTTGCTCAGCATCGGGCCTGTGCAGCGAGAACAAAGGGCCGTCAGTTAAGAGCGAGGACGGTTTCATATTTAGCCTTTAAATAGAACCATGCATGCATTTTTAATTGATTTTACAGAGAGGAAGGGAAAGGGAGTGATTTGTCCCGCTTCCTTAGGCATTCACTGGTGGATTCCCCGAAGGGGGCTCGAACCCACAACCTTGGCACATCAGGACGGTGCTCTAACCAAGGGAGCTACCGGGCCAGGCTCACATTTAGCCTTTTGCATTATTTTAATAGCTGACGGACCACATTTCGTTTTTAATGCCTGTTCCTGCCGCCCGTGGGTAGTGAGACACTGGAAAAGCAGCGGGGGGGGG